TGGATTACCTGATCTAATTTTGTACCTTTGGCAAACAGAATTTACATTTGGAATGTCTGGAATTTCAGAGATGTAGAAATACCCCGGGAGAAAAAGAGTTCTCATTATGCAAGAAAACAATCCACCTTTCCCTATTTCCCTCCATGCATTAAACTTTCCTGACTGCTATAGAGGAGCAAGATAGAAAATCCATACTCTGGAAGTTCAAAAAACTCTTGAGAAGGATCCTTCTGAAATGAAACTTCATTAAAATGGTAATGTATCATAGAAACCATCTCGCCAAGAATGATGTTTCCTTCTTGATACCACTCATACCGAGTAGGTATTGGCTCCCCCACATAACATGCTGGACTATTCACTCTTACTATTGGGATGACAAAAAGAACAAGAAGAAACATCTGGGCAGCAAAAAATCTTCCGAAATATTGATTTTACTTTAATCAGAATTCTGCATGAACAAATATTAGCCAGACTAAGTACATCACTTAAGAGCTTTGTTACTATTCCTTATGTATAACAATAATATAGATTGATACATGTCCTTTATTCAGATTGTTAAAATCCGAATAACATTGTGCTCAAATGATGGCACCCTGGTACTATGAGAAATCACAGTTTGAAGTAAAAAAAATAAATTGTGGACTCTACCCTTTCCAATTCTTACACTTATTTGCAACTCTCTATGGGATAAAACCTTTATATGTTTTTTTCATTGTCACTATTAGATTGTATGTCTCTGCTTCAGATGTTTACATCATAGACCAAGTGAACAAATTACAGTTACTAGAATAATTCTAGTGGAGAGATCATCAATTTTGCTCTGCATGTCATCTATTATTGAAAGAAATGATATAATCAGTAGTGAAGTAATCAAGATTAGATGTGATTTTATAATTGCTCAGGCACTGCAGCTTTCCCCAGAAGCAGTTTTCTCTTTTTTTCAAAGTTCAGCCAGTGTCAACTTTGCAAACAGTTTATCTCTAGTAATCCAACTTTTAAAATATTCAACTTAGAAGCACACAAAGTTATTTATAGTTGTTATTTCTACAGTAAAATCCACGCTTCAATAGAATTGTTTCCCAGTATTTCCTTTAGTAAACAAACATTTTTTTTAAAAAATGTGGACTTTCCAAAGAAGAATATTGTTGATAGGTTTGTGTGTATGTGTATGAGTATGTGTGTGTGTATCCATGCATTCATACATACACTGAAGGAAAAAGTATTTGATCCCCTGCTGACTTTGTATGTTTGCCCATTGACAAAGAAAGGATCAGTCTATAATTTTAATGGTAGGTTCAGTTTAACAGTGAGAGACAGAATAATAACAAAAAAATCCAGAAAACACATTTCAAAAAAGTTATAAATTGAGTCAAAAAAGTATTTGACCCCTTTGCAAAACATGACTTAGTACTTGATGGCAAAACCCTTGTTGGCAATCACAGAGGTCAGACATTTCTTGTAGTTGGCCACCAGGTTTACACACATCTCAGGAAGAATTTTGTCCCCCTCCTCTTTGCAGATCCTCTCCAAGTCATTAAGGTTTCGAGGCTGACATTTGATAGCTCGAACCTTCAGCTCCCTCCACAGATTTTCTATGGGATTAAGATCTGGAGACTGGCTAGGCTACTCTAGGATCTTAATGTGTTTCTTCTTGAGCCACTTCTTTATTGCCTTGGCCATGTGTTTTGGGTCATTGCCATGCTGGAATATCCATCCACAACCCATTTTCAATACCCTGGCTGAGGGAAGGAGGTTCTCACCCAAGATTTGATAGTACATGGCCCCTTCCATCGTCTCTTTAATGTGGTGAGGTTGTCCTGTCCCCTTAGCAGAAAAACACCCCCAAAGCATAATGTTTTCACCTCCATGTTTGACAATGGGGATGGTGTTCTTGGGATCACAGGCAGCATTCCTCCTCCTCCTAACACAGCAAGCTGAGTTGAAGCCAAAGAGCTCGATTTTGGACTCATCTGACCACAACACTTTCACCCAGTTCTCGGAATCATTCAGACGTTCATTGGCAAACTTCAGATGGGCCTGTACATGTGCTTTCTTGAGCAGGGGGACCTTGCGGGCACTGCAGGATTTCAGTGCTTCACAGCGTAGTGTGTTACCAATTCAGTTTCTTGGTGACTATGGTCCCAGATGCCTTGAGATCTTTGACAAGATCCTCTCATGTAGTTCTGGGCTAATTCCTCACCATTCTCATCATCATTAAAACTCCAATGAGGTGAGATCTTGCATGGAGCCCCAGACTGAGGGAGATTGACAGTTATTTTGTGTTTCTTCCATTGTGAATAATCGTACCAAATGTTGTCACCTTCTCACCAAGCTGCTTGGCGATAGTCTTGTAGCCAATTCCAGCCTTGCGTAGGTCTACAATCTTGTCCCTGACATCTTTGGACAGCTCTTTGGTCTTGGCCATGGTGGAGAGTTTGGAATTTGAATGCTTCTGTGGACAGGTGTCTTTTATACAGGTAACAAGCTGAGATTAGGAGCACTCCCTTTAATAGAAATCTTGCTGGTTTATAGGGGATCAAATACTTCTTTCACTCATTAAAATGCAAATTGATTTATAACTTTTATGAAATGCGTTTTTCTGGATTTTTTTGTTGTTATTCTGTCTCTCACTGTTAAAATAAACCTACCATTAAAATTATAGACTGATCATTTCTTTGTCAGTGGACAAACATACAAAATCAGCAGGGGATCAAATAATTATTTCCCTCACTGTACATAGGAAAGAGATATGAAAAATTCTCTGAATCATGAAGAGATTTTTAAAATAATGACTATATACATAAATAAGCAAATTCTCTTCATCACTAAGATGTGTAGGAAGCCACAGCAATAACCAAACAAAAATAAAAAGAGAGATAAAATATGAGAGGGAGGAAATAATGATATTCTAATATCTCAGATATCATTATCAAACCAAATCTCTATAGTACTCAGATTATTGTGTCTGTAAATTTTATTGGCCAAAACTTTTCATCCTAGGACAAAATCTTTTTTAGGCAAGGTACTTCACATGGGCTAACTTACAGAATGTGTCCAACATTTAAGACCCATGACTTTGGTGAAATTGAAATTTGGAAAATTTTATAAAACATTTTCTGACATAAGGCAAAATGCCATAAAACATTTCTTGTGGTATACAGTTCAACCTGCACTATTTTTGAAGCATATACACCTCTGACTATTGCTTTACATTTTTAAGAAGTTTCCCAGTGAAGGAATTCATTGGAAGCTCCTCTATTTTTAAGCCATTGAAGAATTAATAAGAAAATATCTCTGAAAGAATGACCCAACAGGTCATGGTTGTATTTTATATTCTGAATTAAGATAGTTAAACAAAATGTTCCAATATCTCAGGGGCTGCCACAAAGAAGAGGGAGTCAAGCTATTCTCCAAGGCGCCTGAAGGCAGGACAAGAAGCAATGGATGGAAACTGATCAAGGAGAGAAGCAACCTAGAACTAAGGAGAAACTTCCTGACAGTTAGAACAATTAACCAATGGAACAACCTGCCTCCAGAAGTGGTGAATGCTCCAACACTGGAAGTTTTTAAGAAGAGACTGGACAGCCATTTGTCCGAAATAGTATGCCTGAGCAGGGGATTGGACTCGATGACCTTCAAGGTCCCTTCCAACTTTTTATTATTATTATTATTATTATTATTATTATTATTATTATTATTATTATTATTATTATTATTATTATTATTATTATTATTATTATTATTATTATTATTATTATCTTTCTTTCTGTGTCCATGTGTTTATATTATTGTAAAAAAAATCTATTGGTTAAAATTATTTTTGCCATGAGGATTAGGATTAGGATAGTGCTGACCCTGCTAGCTTTGGGGGGGCCTTAGTGTTATCTGAGCTTCGTTGTTTCCTTGCAGACATTTGCTTTATTGGTACTTGCTGGCTTTTTCTAAAGCTCTAAATATCTAGTTCTGTCCATTGGTCTGGGACAGATGATACCTGTTTTGCTGAAGTGGTACGAACTGGCTGGTGGGATTCAGCCAGTTTGCACCACTTTGGCAGAACCGGTAGCTAATTTTTTGTTGCCCAGGCCCATAATGGACTTCCGGAAGCAGCATCCACACAGAGAACCAGTTGTTCACATATTTGAATCCCACCACTGGTCTGGGGTCCTGAATATGTGAAGGGTCCACTCTCCTAGTTGTATTAACAACCATTTGTTGCAACATTCTATAATTTTATAGAAATATTGATACACCTCATCCCCATAACTCTAGGAAGAGATTATACATATGTCATCAGGGTCATCTATAAGTTGCCAAGTCAGGATCTGATGATGTTATCTAGATTGGGTAGTGAAACATATGCAACAAAACTGCAAAGCTCAGAGAGCACCAAGGATCCCTCATTTCAATCCTGAGCTCCTTTATTGGGACACTGTCCTCTGCAAGAACCTGTTCCTGTATTTTATATTCTGAATTAAAATAGTTAAATCTAATGCACCATCTTTCTTTCTGTGTCCATGTATGCATATTATTGTAAAAAATATCATCTGATTTTTAAAATTAGTTTTATTTCAGAAAGAGGGGAAACACTTTGTGAAATTGACAATTAACATGTAGATAGATTTTTTTTAAGATCAGCTAGGGGAAAGTATTTTAATAAATAATTAACTCTTCCTGGAATTGGTCCAAATTACTACCATGTATTTATTTGCTCAAAGCTCCTGAGATTTTCCAAAAACCAGTGAAAAGCAGAAAGCAAGTTTGAAAGAGGTTATAAACTAATCCTGGTTCCATGGAGAGCTTGGGGTAGTGGGAACAGCCAAACAGGGCTATTGTGTTCAGCATCCATTTGCTCCAGCATCTGTTCTCTCTTTGATCAGACTAATTTAAAACGTGAATTGTAGATGTCTCAGTCATTATTCAAACACATGTCTGTATCTCCACTGAAGTGAAAAGTTTAGATTGATGCTTTTCTCTTTGGAAGTGTGTTGGGAAAATCCAGTATGCTAGGTCAGATCCATTGGTGTGGATTGATATGTTGGAGACAACTTTTGGAAGATATTTTGGCTGCTGATGTATTGTTCATTCTGATGTTCCCAGTGATCAAAATGAAAGCACTCAAGTGTCCAGAGGTTGATCCCATTCCAGTTCCACATGAATGGTACCAATCAGGTGATCTCCTCATTGGAGGGATGGCTTCACAGAACCTCTATGCCTTCAGTGAACATACTTTTTATGAACATCCATCTCAGGAGCTCTATGAACTTTCAGAGTAAGCAAATTCCACACCTTTCTTCTTCTAAATATCCCTTATTTCTTCTCAACTTTTAAAGATGGTGACACCTATTCCTGTAAAGAGATGTTTAAATAAAGCAGATGAAAACTTTACCTGGTCAAGTGCTTCTTGGCTGAAGGCTCTATAAGTCTTTTTTCCCCTCCCATCTGGATACTTTATTGTGTTTTTAAGATAATGTCATGAGAGGTTGATCATGAATAGCTAAAGAAAAATTGATTACAAATCTCTAAGACAAAGGAACTTAATGAAATAAAGAATTCTTTAAAAAGATCCCTCTGTTAACTAAAATAAGAATAAAATTGATTTTCTTTCAAGAGAGATATATCCATAAGAAGGAACATTAACCTCCAACTTTAAATAAGTTTATTTGAAAGACAAAGTTAAAAATGTACCTAGAATGCTCTTCATAGCTGAGGACATTGTAACTGAGGAAATTTAGAAAATAAAACTGCATGAAACATGGTGCTCAAGAAATTCTTAACTGAAAGTTGAAATGTTTATCTCAAATAATAACACAATGTTTGAAATGATCAAGGAGATTTCTTCATTGGAAGGATGGCTTCAGCGAGCATTCATTTTATGAACATCCATCTCAGGAGCTCTATGAATTTTCAAAGTAAGAAAATCCCACACCTTTCTTCACCTAATAATTCCTTGGTTTTTTTCCTCAGTTTTTCTAAATGACCATACCTGTATCTATGAAAAAAAGTGCCTAAAGAAAGCAGAAGAAAGCTTTTCTATGATCAACCTTCAGTTTTTGAGAGTTTCTGGCTGTAGGTTAAATAAGTCTTTTATTTCCCATCAATTTTGTTTTAAATAAAATGTTATGTAAGTTAAACATAATGGCTAAATAGCTAATTACAAATCCTTAAGAAAGGGGATTTAATAAAATGAAGAAATATTTTAAAATATATGGTCTCCTTATTAAAGAAAGGAATAGAATTAATTTATTTTTTTCCAGAAAAGAAATGTATCCATAAGAAGAAGAATTAATACCCAACTTTAGATAAGTTTATTTAAAAGATAAAATTAGAAATTTACCCAGGATGCTCTTCATAACTGAAAAGGTTACAACTGAGAAATTTTAGATAGTTAATGTGCATAAAAGATGGTGCTCAAAAATTTGTTATCTGAAATTTGATTTTTTTTCTCAAAGTAAAACACATACCATGAATGCTTCATATGAACAGTTCTTTGATGAATATTTATCTCAGAAATGGTTTGAGATTCTATATTACTTTTTCTCACTTTTCCCAGATCACAACATTTTCCCAGAAGAAATAATAGGGGCAGTGTAACATATAAACAGAATAATAGAGTTGGAAGGGACCTCAGAGATCTTCTAATCCAACTCCATGCTCAGGCAGGAGACCCTATACCATTTTGGATAAATTTCAATCTCTTCTTAAAAACCTTCAGTGATAGAGCACCTACAACTACTGAAGGCAAAACCATTCCACTGATTAATTGTTCTCACTGTCAGCAAATTCCTCCTTAGTTCTAGGTTGCTTCTCTCCTTGATTAGTTTCCATCTGTTGCTTCTTGTCATGCCTTCAGGTGCTTTGGAGAATAGCTTGACCCATTAACCCATTTCTTTCATGAATTTTCAGAATGTTTTTCACTCCATACTAAATGTGAAAGCTGTTCTTTCACTAAAATATCATAATATTTAGAAGGGGGAGAAGTGGTGAGAGTGTAGATTGCAACAGAATAGTACGACACTTAAGATATGATGGATGAAGATTCATACAGCGAAAATAATGTTTTTGGTGAAAGAGTGGAAATGAATGAATGAAAGAACAAGCATCTAATTTCAGTCTGACTTTCTTTTAAATATAGAATTACAAATATATTTAGAGAATTGAAGGCAGAGTTAGCCCATGGTAAGATGGGCACCCAATGAATTTGATAACGTTAAATGTATGTATGTATGTATGTATGTATGTATGTATGTATGTACATGCATACGTATGTATGTATGTATGTATGTATGTATATATGAATATACTTCTCAGTACTTTTCTATGCATTGCAAAATTGTTTCATGAAAGTCTTTCTTTATTTGCAGTGTGATTACAAAATTCTACCAGCATGTCCTTTCTTTGGCCTTTGCTGTCAAGGAGATCAATGAAAACCCACAAATCTTGCCCAATGTTACCCTTGGATTCCACATCTATGACAGCTACAACAATCCTAAGATGACCTATCGGACCACCTTGGACTTACTTTTCAAATCAGATAGATTTCTGCCCAACTACAAATGTGGACTTCAGAAAAATCTCCTGGCCACCCTTGGAGGACTTGGATCAGATACTTCATCCCATATGGCAGAAATTCTAGAGTTCTACAAAATTCCACAGGTGGGTCCAGGGGTGAGGGGATTTATATTGTTCATGTTAACCGATTTCAAGAATTAATCAATTAATTAAGTGTGCCCAAGAGCATCCTTAAATTTTCATTCTCATAAATCTTATTTAAGATTTAACAAGTGACTAAAAATAAAAATTAGATTTCTTGGTGCAGAATGGAACAACTCACTGTGGCCAACTCACTATGGCCAACTCACCATGATCAACTCACAGCAGGACAACTCGTCACTGGAGAATTCAAGAATTAAATTTAATTATTCTAAATAATTAAAAAATATTTTATTTTTTGTCACTCACATTTCATTTTGTCCCTCCTTTGACATCCTTTCTTTAATGATTCTATTCCATCATTTCTTCTATAAGAAACTTTTCCTCTGGTGAGTTGTCCGTGGTGAGTTGGCCACAGTGAGTTGTTCCAGAAATTTAACCATATTCTCAAAATTTGAGAAATTAGGGATCAGGTGTAAATTTTAATCTTTCAAACCAGTTTTTGAAGTGATGCATAAAAATGCATGACCAAAACAAAAAAATTCTCTTTAACTCCTCTGTACAATGTCTTGATGTTTTCTTTTAGCTTACCTATGGATCATTTCCCCTGGAAGAAATTGATAGCTGTCAATCATCTTCACTTTACTTTATGGCCCCAAATAAAGTTCCTCAGTATATCGGGATTATCCGATTACTTCAACGATTTGGATGGAAATGGATTGGGCTCTTTGCTGCGGACACTGAGAGTGGAGAACACTTTTTGCAGAAATTGGAGCACTTATTTTTCCAGCAGGGAATCTGTTTAGCTTTCATACAAAGATTTCCGAAACTATTGCGTTTGGATGACCTGGGCAAATTTAATGATATAATGTTTAACTTTTATGCACATTTCACAGATGTTAAAACAAATATGTATATCATCTATGGAGAATCTTTTACACTTGCGTGGCTCACAGCTCTCAAATCTGTATGGGATGCTGCAAATAAAGGAAATGCATCTTTAAGCAAGGTGTGGATCACCACAAGCCAAATTGATTTTATGCTACCAGGATCCCAAAGGGATTGGAATCTCCAGTTTTATGATGGGGCCATTTCCTTTCAAATCCATTCAGGTGAAAATCAGGAATTCAAGGAATTTCTTCAGTCCATAAAACCATATTCAACCCCTGGAGATGGGTTTCGAAACCATNATCTCAAAAAAATCTTTGCAGATAAAATAGCTGAATCTCCAGAACTACAACCTTTTAAGGTAACTTATCTCCAGCAAAGATTTTTTTTTCTTTTCAATGAACAACTTACTTCAGAATAATTTAGCTCACAAAATGAGCTAAGCATTAATTTCAGGCACAATCTATTCAAATAGTTGTGTTAAAAACACTTAATGACCTTGTCTGCTCCAATTAGATTAGACTTAACTTTCTTCTCAATGGTCTTATCAAGGCATTTTAAAGTGGTACTATCACTTCACATGATTTTGATTCTATCCCTCTGTTAATGCAGCCTAGAACTGTGTTGGCTTTTTTGGCAGCTGCAGCACACCGCTGGCTCATATTTACAGTAAGTGATTGTCCACTAGGACTCTGAGATCCCTCTCACAGTTACTACTATTGAGAAAGGTACCACCTATACTATACCTATGCATTTGGTTTTTCTTGCCTAAAGAAAACCTTATTTTTTTCACCATTAAATTTCATTTTGTTAGATAGCACCCAGTTTTCAAGTCTATCAAGATCTCTGTATCTTAAGCCTATCTTCTGGAGTGTTGGCTATTCCTGCCAACTTGCTGTCATCTGCAAATTTGATGAGTTCCCCAATTATCTCCTCATCCAAATCATTGATGAAGATATTGAAGAGCACTAGACCCAGAAAAGAGCCCTGAGGCACCTCACTACACACTTCGGTCCATTGAGGACTACACGTTGAGTGTGGTTGGTCAGCCAGTTCTGAATCCATCTGGTGGTGATGCTGCCTAACCCACATTTTTCTGTCTTATCAACTAGTATATTGTGATCTACTTAATCAAGTGCCTTACTGAAATCCAAGTATATTATATCCACAGCATTCCTCTAGTCCACTATATAATATAATAGTTCTTTGTTTTCTATTGGCATTTTGTCCAATGAACTGCATAATGAGTTTGGGAAATAAAACATGAAACTTCTCATATGTTGTTTTTCCTTATCTTTGTTAATTCAACTTCATTGTTTTCTTTTTCTCTTTCAAGTAGCTCCACCAATTTCTTCAAGACATTTCTTTCAACAACGCAGCAGGAGAGGGAGTGTCTTTTAATGAGAAGAGGGAAGTTGCAGGTGGATTTAGCATCATCAATATGATCGCTTTTCCAAACAAGTCCATTAGGACCGTGAAAGTTGGAAAGCTAGATCCTGATGCATCTTATGGAAATGAATTGATCATTAATGAAAATCTGATAGAATGGCACAAAGGTTTTAATCAGGTATAGAACTGCATAAATGTAGAGTATTTTTTTTACAACTTTTTTAAATAATGAAAAAGGTTTCAGTTAAAATGTCTCCAACTGATCTCTGCTGGTCATGATTCTCTTTATAGCACGGGTGTCAAACTCGCCACGTCACGTGACGTGTCGCAACATATCACAACTTTTTTCGCATTGCTGGAGCTGGGGTGGGTACAGCCTCTGAATGATGCAACTGGCCCACGGGCCGACAGTTTCATACCCCTGCTTTATAGGATGCCTAGTTGAGTGTATTTTCAGCTGATGAAACAACTGAATAACTTCGCAATTACCTGTGCAAACTTTTTCATGTTATGAGCAGGTTCTTCCAGTTTCTCTGTGTAACGAATACTGTCGTCCTGGATATTGGAAGAGAAAATCTGAAGAGAAAAGCTTCTGCTGCTACGATTGTGTTCCATGTCAACAGGGGACGATTTCAAGCAAGATAGGTCAGTTATGGCCCTCTACAAAAATCATTGGGCAGCGAAGGAATTGTTTCATCAAATATTACCATTGGTTGAGCTGCATATATTTATTTCTTACTAAAATTGAGGTTTTCTAGCATGTAAAGCAAGGAACACAGGTAACTCCTATAAATCTCAGTTAGTAATAATCTCAGTTAGTAATAATCACTCAGGTTTTAAAATAATATATCTTGCAGAATATTGTAAACCACACAAAATCTCTTCTGATATGGCCTTTTTGTGCCAGATATAAGAATACGTAGTGGGATACAAACATAATTAATTTTTAGTGGTCCTGCAGATCTCATTTGTGGAACAAGAATGTATAGTGAGTGGTTCAGCAATATTTTATACGGTGGTCATCCAAGTATTGTATGACAATATAATGCATATTGAGGGGGAGAAAATTGAACATTATCTAATTAATTGTTGTAAAATTTAATGAAAATTTCAATATTCAACATGATAAAACTGTTATATTGAGGCTACTTTCAACCAGTGTATATAATATGAAATCCTTCAATTCTTTATGACACTGTCTACAAAGAAATTGTTTCATCATTTTTTTATTGTTAAGAATGATTCTTTGGTGCAGGAAGTAATTAACTAATGTTAATCTTATTGAGTAATATTCCCCAAATTTTGAAAATATCATAGTGGCTTTCAAAATGTTGAGAGCACCATTTTCAAAACACTTCCTCCAAATTTCAAGGAAATACAAATTGGGATATTAAAAGAAAGGAAAGAAAATAATTATTTTTAATTCATTTTAGATATAGGGTTTTCATTTGGAAACTACATATACGTACCCCATAGAGGATTTGGAGACTTATTTGTTTGAGGGTGAAGTTTTGTTCTCTGAGTTTGGGGGTTGGTTTCCAAATGTTTTGTTACCAGGCTAGGTAACATCTTTAGTGGAGTTAAATCACACTGACATTTCATAAATGCAGCTGAAGATGTTACCTAGCCTGGTAACAAAATGTTGAGGAACCAACCCACAAGCTCGGAGAATGAATTTTCACCCTCTTCCTACACTCGAGCTACAGATATTCGCCATTATTGCAAACTTGTTTATTTAGTTGTCTCTTTGCTAAATTTGTTTGCCGCCCATGTTGCATAAGGGGACCCGTGTTATGTGATAGTTATAGACAGAATTATATGAAAATATAAACAAGGACATTTGGAAAAGCATCTGAACTGCTATGTTCCCTGTAAAACTGAATGAAAAATAACAAAACAATCAATATGTCAGGGCCCACTTCAAAACCTCATGCTAAGAAAGCAGAACTCATGGAAGCAGTTTCTTCCAAAAGGAACTTTTATTAGGAGAAGCTGATAGCAGGCATAATACACAGGATCTGAGGGTTTCCTGCTCAGATCTATAGGTTAAAAGTGTCCCAAGCAAACCCCACCCCAATAGTTCATCCGGTCAGTTCAAATGGGCCAATCCCCAGATGTTAAGTCCATTGTGGGAAGGACACATTAAGTCCATTGTGGACACATTAAGTCCATTGTGGACACATTAAGTCCATTGTGGAAGGACACATTAAGTCCATTGTTAAGTCCATTGTGGGAAGGACACGCCAGGCTGTCTCAGGATGTTTTGTTGGGTCTTCACACCTTCCCTTCTGAAAATAGAGATAAACCAGTTGCCAGAGGTGCATTCCTTTCTTCTCCCCCCTTTCAAGCTGACATCAAGGGGGAAGATAGTTCAAAGAGCATGTATGCAGAAACAGCAAAAGTGTTACAGTGTAGCGATAGAGGAAAACAAAGAAATAGCCCGCAGAGTTTCCCCCCTCCCCTCCAGGAGCATGGCAGAACCCAGAAGTGTAGAAAGATTAGAGTTAGAATTAAAATTAGAAAGAGCCCCCTCAGAATATGGGTTCTGATACAATATTATCTATAGATCACAGTCTATTAACTAACTAATTAATTAAGTATATTTCTAGATGATCCAAGCCAGTGGTTGGATTCAAATATGTGAACAACTGATTCTCTGTGTGGATACTGCTTCCGGAAGTCCATTCTGGGCCTGGGCAACAAAAAATTAGCTACTGGTTCTGCCGAACTGGTGCAAACCGTCTGAATCCCACTGATCCACGCCCAAATGACTCTGGGTAATTTGACAAACATCAAATTATAATAATAACAATAAAAAAGAGAACCAACAGAGAACAGCAACCAAATGTTCTATCACCTAAATTTAAATTATGCATTGTAATGAATTTCTGCAAGTTCACACAGTTTCATGCCATTAAATTATAGATTTTGGGGATATAACTTGGAATAACATTTGAAATACAGATACAGAGGGAAAAGATCACAAAATGAATATCAGGCTCAAACCATAGCATAAAATATTTATTAAAAAGTGATAAGCAGGAAATAAATGAGTTTTCTTTTGATCCTTTATCCAGATACAGAAGATTGTTTCAAATGTCCTGAAGATCAGTATCCAAACAAGGATCAAGATCAATGCCTTAACAAAACAATGAGTTTCCTGTCCTTTGAAGAATCTTCAGGGATTAGTCTGGCCTCAGCTGCTGTTTTCTTCTCCCTCATGACAACCAATATGCTCGGAATTTTCCTTAAGCGTAGAGATACCCCCATTGTCAAGGCCAACAACCGGGACCTCACTTACATACTACTCATTGCCCTTCTGCTCTGTTTTTTCTGTTCCTTGTTATTTCTTACTCAACCAGGAAAAGTAATCTGCCTTCTCCGTCAACCAGTATTTGGCATCATTTTCTCAGCTGCTGTTTCTTGTGTGTTAGCTAAAACTATTACCGTGATTGTAGCTTTCATGGCTACTAAGCCAGGTTCTTCAATGAGAAAATGGTTGGGGAAAAAATTGTCTCTTTCCATTGTTCTTTCTTGTTCGTTTTTTCAAGCAAGTCTTTGCATTCTGTGGCTGGCAACATCTCCTCCATTCCCTGAGTTAGACATGCACTCCCTTAAAGAAATCATGATTTTGCAATGCAACGAAGGCTCCATCTTCATGTTCTATTGTGTCCTGGGCTACTTGGGCTTCTTGGCTATTGCCAGCTTTATTGTGGCTTTTCTTGCCCGTAATTTACCTGACAGCTTTAATGAAGCCAAGTTCATCACTTTCAGCATGTTGGTGTTCTGCAGTGTGTGGATCTCCTTTGTTCCAACCTATCTGAGNACCAAAGGAAAAGCCATGGTGGCTGTGGAGATCTTCTCCATCTTGTCTTCCAGTGCTGGGTTATTGGGATGTATCTTTTTCCCCAAATGTTTCATCATTATGTTCAGGCCAGAACTTAATAGCAGACACCAACTAATCAAACAAAATAATTAAATTAGGTCTATATTTTTTATGACTTACATGGCAAGAAAATTAGCAAAGAAAAATTAAAGATTAGCCTCTTCAATTTTCCTTCGTATTCTCCATTCTATATCAACATTTCTGTTTTGTGGTTGTAATCTCTCCTCCATTTCCTAAATTAGTTGTGACCTCAGTTATTGAACAAGTGATTCTACAATGCAACAAAGGTGTTTTTTTTTAATCTTTGTTTTACCATGTTTTACCACTTCTTGTTGGTAAAGGCCAACATATAGGACTTTTGGTCTTCAGGAGCTTCATCATCAGTTTTGTTGCCTATAAATTATCTTTCACTTCTGATAACTCACTTTCATTGCTTTTAGCATGTTCGTCTTTTTCAGAGTGTAGGTCTGTTAACCTATCTGAGCACAACAGCAAAATTCATGGTAGCTGTGGAGATCTTTTCCATCTGGGTCTCTAATGCTGCTTTTCTTGAATATATCTTTTTCTCTTAAATGTTTCTAATTATGCTGAGATCCAAGTTAAATAACAGGGAGCAATAATAAAAATTAAACTAAATAATTTTTATTAATTTATTAAATTTATTGGCTGAGTGTCTTACCTCAGAATAACTCTAATTATGTATTTTTCTCAGTTTATTGCCAAGATTTTACATTATACTATATGTTAACCACTAAATTTGGCCTTCAGTTCGAGTCATTTTACAAAAAAGGAAAGAAAGAAAGAAAGAAAGAAAGAAAGAAAGTCATAAAATTTCTGAAACATGTTTTTTTATGTCCTGAAACTTAAACCTTTTTGCTATGCTGCTCTACTACCATTCTATCAAATCAGTTTTTAATACAAATTAAATGAAAAGAAATAAAATATTATTATTTTTCTTTGTTTATTATCCCCTGATCTTTTTTAGAGCCTCTTTTAATGTCTGGTAAAAGGACAAAATCCAGACATAGACTTTTGTGACACTCCCTTGGTTTAAAATAAGTTAAAAGGTGTGATTTATTTTTATTGTTTGCTTAATTTATGGTTGAGTTAAAAAATAGAAGCACTTGGAAATTTAGTAGGCTAAAAGAACAAATAGATGAATGTGTGAATGTGGTACATCATTTGGTAAAGGAGGAAGGCTCTGAAGTAGAGAGTTTGATACTACTGTTAGTTAAAGGAATAATATTGAAGATTAATGAAAACAAGTGATTTGATAGATCATCTCATTTTTATTTTCATTCATTCATTCAATCATTCATTATAAAACAATTAAATCAATCAGATTGTCTCTAGTAATCCAACTTTTAAAATATTAAACTTAGAAGCACACGAAGTTAGTTACAGATGTTATTTCTGCAGTAAAATTCATGGTACAATAGAATTGTTTCCCAGTATTTCCTATAGTGAACAAAGGATTTTTTTTTAAATGTGGAATTTCAAAAGAAAAGAGTATTGTTGATAGGTGTGTGTATGTGTGTGTTTGCATGTGTTTATGCACATACACACAAATTATATATATACAGCAATATATGTACATATACAAACATATACATACATACATACATACATACATACATACATACATGTTTTTAAAATAATGACTATATACACACAAATAAGCAAATCCTCTTCATCACTAAGAGGTGTAGGAAGCAACAGCAATAACCAAATAAAAATAAAAAGAGAGAGATAGAAGATGAGAGAGGGGAATAATGATATTCTAATACTCAGACATCATTATTAAACTAAATCTATATAGTACTCGAATTATTGTGTCTGTAAACTTTATTGGCCAAAACATTGCATCCTAGAACAAAATCTTTTTTTAGGAAAGGTACTTTATATGGGCTAATTCACAGAATGTGTCCAAAATTTGATACCCATGACTGTGGTGGAATTTGAATTTGGCAAATTTTACAAAGCATTTTCTGACATAAGGCAAAATGCCATAAAACATTTTCTGTGCTGTAGAGTTCAACATCTGCTATTTTCAAAGCATGCACAACTCTAACCCTTTAAATTTTAAGAAGTTTTCCAGTGAAGGAATTCATTGGAAGCTGTTCCATTGTTGAAGTCATTGAAGAATCTGATAAGGAAATATCTCTGAAAGAATGACCCAACAAGTCATGACTGTATGCAAGAATACAGAAAAGCTATTCTGAATGAAAATAGTTAAATCCATTTTTCTTTCTGTATCATGCATCATCTTTCTTTCTGTGTCCATGTATGCATGTTATTGTAAAAATATCATCTGATTTTTAAAATTACTTTTATTTCAGAAAGAGGAGGAACACTTTGTCAAATTGACAATTAACATGCATGTGTTTATATATACAGGAGAAAGTATTTTAATAAATAATTAACTCTTCCTGGAATTGGTCCAAATTTGTTTATTTGCTCAAAGCTCCTGAGATTTTCCAGAAAGCAGTGAAAAGCAGAAAGCAAGTTTGAAAGAGGTTATAAACTAATCCTAGTTCCATAGAGAGCTTGGGATGGCGGGAGCAGCCAAACAGGGCTATTGGATTCATTTGCTCCAGCATCTGTTCTCTCTTTGATCAGACCAATTTAAAATCTGAGTTGTAGAAGTCTCCGTCATTATTCAAGGACATGTCTGTATCTCCATTGAAGTGAAAAGTTTAGATTGATGCTTTTCTCTTTGGAAGTGTGTTGGGAAAATCCAGTATGCTAGGTCAGATCCATTGGTGTGGATTGAAATGTTGGAGACCTCTTTTGGAAGATGTTTTGTTCATTCTGATGTTCCCAGTGATCAAAATGAAAGCACTCAAGTGTCCAGAGGTTGATCCCATTCCAATTCCACATAAATGGTATCAACCCGGTGATCTCCTCATTGGAGGAATGACTTCACAGATCATCTATGCCTTCAGTGAGCATTTATTTTATGAACATCCATCTCAGGAGCTCTATGAATTTTCAGAGTAAGAAAATCCCACACCTTTCTTCACCTAATAATTCCTTGTTGTTGTTTTTTCTCAGTTTTTCTAGATGACTACACCTGTCTCTATGAAAAAAGGTGCCTAAAGAAAGTAGAAGGAAGCTTTATATGATCAAGCAATCACTTCAGTTTCTGAGAGTTTTGGCTGTAGATTAAATAAGACTTTTGTTTCCCATCAATTTTATTTTAAATAAAATGTTATATAGATTAAACATAATGACTAAATAGCTAGATAACAAATCCTTAGGAAAGGAGATTTAATATAATGAAGAAATATTTTAAAATATACGGTTCCCTTGTTAAATAAAAGAATAGAGTTAATTTCCTTTTTCCAGAAAAGAAATGTATCCATAAGAAAGAGCATTAATATCCAATTTTAGATAAGTTCATTTAAAAGATAAAATTAGAAATTTACCTAGGATGCTGTGCATAACTGAAAAGATTATAACTAAGGAAATTTAGTAAGTTAATCTGCATAAAACACAATGCTCAAAATATTACCTGAAATTTGATTTTTTTTATTGAAATATAACATAGTGTTTGAAGCAATGAAAGGGGCAGATTTTTTTGCCCATCCGGATAGATATATTTAATAATACTTAATGAATTCATCATTGCCTTAAATGTTTTATGAGTAACTTCCTGGGGGTAATGTAAATCATGATAAAAATTCCTGTAATAAATAATAGATCAGCATTAGCTAAAAGTAAAGATTAGCAGTATCTTTCTTTTGCAACATAGGCAGAAATTAGGATTTTTTTTCATTCTTAGCTAAGTCACCCACTGAAGAGTATTTTTTCTCAAAGATTCTGGAGAATTTCACACTGCATTCTAAGCTATTGGTCTCCCTTGTAGATGCCAGTTCTTTCCCAAGCCAACTTCAAAATTATAACCTGTATTGAAGTGGGTGGGCTGTGAGGCTGGGATGGTTCTGAATCTGAAGTGGAACCACTGCAGACTCTGATTTGTTATTGTAGAAATGGGAGGGAGGGGAGAAAAATAGGGCTAATCATGTTCATTTCTTCTATTGCTTTTTTCTCCATTTATGCAGACAGATTTTACTTTCCCAGTTACTATTCAAGCATATAGTAGCATCCTTGTTGAAATGAAAGTTTAGGGTGATTATTTTTAAGAAGTGCACTGAGAAAAATCAACATGATAAATCTAAATGGGGAGAAGATGGATATGTAGGAGGTAACATTTAGAGGATCAGCATCGTAATCTTGCGTCTGATATATTGTTCTTCTCAATGTTCCCTGTGATGCAAAATAGTGATCCTTTCCCTATTCCCAAAATAGTGATCCTTTCCACATTAAAGGCACCCACCAAGTGATCTTCACAGGGGAGTGATGGCTTTTCAGATCATAAATGCTTTATGTGAGCAGTTCTTTGATGAATATATATCTCAGAAACTATCTGAGATTCTATATTACTTTTTCTCACTTTTCTGAGATCACAACATTTTGCCAGAAAAAAATAAGAGGGGCAGAGTAACATATAAACAGAATAATAGAATAACAGATTTGGAATGGACTTTGGAGATCTTCTAGTCCAACTTCTTGCTCAGACAGGAGATCCTATACCATTTCAGATAAATGGTTGTCCAATCTCTTCATAAAAGCCTCCAGTGATGGAAAACCCACAACTTCTGGAGGCAAGTCATTCCACTGATTAATTGATCTCACTATCAGGAAATTTCTCCTTAATTCTAGGCTGGGTCTCTCCTTAATTAGTTCCCATCCGTTGCTTCTTGTCCTGCCTTCAGGTGCTTTGGAGAGTAGGTTGACCCATTAACCCATTTCTTTTATGAATTTTCTGGATGGTTTTCACTCCATACTAAATGTGAAAGCTGTTCTTCCACTAAAATATCATAATATTTAGAAAGGGGAGAAGTGATGAGATTACAGATTGCCACAGAATAGTATGATACTTAAATGATGGATGAAGATTCATATAATGAAAAAAACTGTTTTTGGTGAAAGAGTAAAAATGAATGAAAAATAGGACAAGCATCTATTTTCAGTGTCTGACTTTCTTTGAAATATAGAATTATAAATATATTTTGTGAGTTCAGGGAAGATCCCATGGTAAGATAGGCAGCCAATAAATTTGGTAAAATTAAATAAATATACTTCTCATTACTTTTCTATACATTGTACAATTGTTTCATGAAAGACTTTCTGTATTTGCAGTGTGATTACAAAATTCTACCAGCATGTCCTTTCTTTTGCCTTTGCTGTCAAGGAGATCAATGAGAATGCACAAATCTTGCCCAATGTTACCCTTGGATTCCACATCTATGACAGCTACAACAATCCTAAGATGACCTATCGGACTACACTGGACTTACTTTTCAAATCAGATAGATTTCTCCCCAACTACAAATGTGGATGTCAGAAAATTATCCTGGCCATCATTGGAGGACTTGGATCAGATACCTCATCCCATATGGAAGAAATTGTAAAGTTCTACAAAATTCCACAGGCGAGTTCCATGGGTATGGGGATTTATCTTGCTCCTGTTAATTAATTTAAAGAATTAATCAATTGATTAAGTGCACCAAAGAACACTTCATTCTCATAAATCTCATCTAAGACTTAACAAGTGACTCAAAATAAAAATTGGTGTGGAACTCACATTGGCAGTGGGACAACTCACCTCAGGACAATTCAAGAATTCAATTTAATTAATATTAAATTATTAAAAAATATTTTAATTTTTGTCATTCACATTTCATTTTCTCCCTCTTTTGGCATCCTTTCTTTAATGATTCTATTCCATCATTTCTTCTATAAGAATCATTTCCTGTGGCAAGTTGGCCGTGATGAGTTGGCCTAGACCCTTCTTGATGAATGCCAATGATATTTTAACACATTTGTTGAAAAAACATCAATGCCCAGAAATTTAACCATATTCTCAAAATTTGAGAAATTAGGATCAGGTGTAAATTCTAATCTGTCAGACAATTTTTTCAAGTGATCCATAAAAATACATGACCAAAACAAAAACCTCTTTTTAACTCCTATGTATAATGTCTTTATGTTTTCTTTTAGCTCACGTATGGATCATTTCCCCTGGAAGAAATTGATAGCTGTCAATCATCTTCACTTTACTTTATGGCCCCAAATGAAGTTCCTCAGTATATCGGGATTATCCGATTGCTTCAACGATTTGGATGGAAATGGATTGGGCTCTTTGCTGCGGACACTGAGAGTGGAGAACACTTTTTGCAGAAATTGGAGCCCTTGTTTTCTGAGCAGGGAATCTGTTTAGCTTTCACACAAAGATTCCCAAAATTATTCTGTTTGGATGACTTGGGCAAATTTAATGATATAATGTTTAACTTTTATGCACATTTCACAGATGTTAAAACAAATACGTATATCATCTACGGAGAATCTTTTACACTTGCGTGGCTCACAGCTCTCAAATCTGTATGGGATGCTGCAAATAAGGAAAATGCATCTTTAAGCAAGGTGTGGATCACCACAAGCCAAATTGATTTTATGCTACCAGGATCCCAAAGGGATTGGAATCTCCAGTTTTATGATGGGGCCATTTCCTTTCAAATCCATTCAGGTGAAAATCAGGAATTCAAGGAATTTCTTCAGTCCATAAAACCATATTCAACCCCTGGAGATGGGTTTCGAAACCATTTTTGGGAGCATGCATTTGACTGCTTCTTTCCTAATTCGGGATTGTCATCATTGGGCAGTCAAGAATGCACTGGGGAAGAAGGACTGGGAAACCTTCCTGAATCTCTGTTTCAGTTACAGATGACCGGCCACAGCTACAGTATCTATAATGGTGTTAATGCTGTGGCTCTTTCTTTGCATAGCATGCTGTCAAAGGGATTAAATCTCAAAAAAATCTTTGCAGATAAAATAGCTGAATCTCCAGAACTACAACCTTTTAAGGTAACTCATCTCCAGCAAAGATTTTTTTTCTTTTCAATGAACAACATATTTCAAAATATTTTAGCTCACAAAATGAGCTAAGCATTAATTTCAGGCACAATCTGTTCAAATAGTTATGATAAAAACACTTAATGACCTTGTCTGTTCCAATTAGATTACACTGAACTTTCTTCTCAAAAAAGATTGCATCACACAATTCTGTATATCTTATTCACTGATAGGTTGACTTCTTGCTCTTTTGTGGAAAACTGGATATATAATAGTTCTTTGATTTATATTGGCATTTTGTCCAATAAAACTGCATAATGAGTTTTGGAAATAAAACATGGATTTATGTTGATTTCTTTTACTTTGTTAATTCAACTTCATTGCTTTCTTTTTCCTCTTTCAAGTAGCTCCACCAATTTCTTCAAGACATTTCTTTCAACAATGCAGCAGGACAGGGAATATCTTTTAATGAGAAGAGGGAAGTTGCAGGTGGATTTAGCATCATCAATATGATCGCTTTTCCAAACAAGTCCATCAGGACGGTGCAAGTTGGAAAGCTAGATCCTGATGCATCTTATGGAAATGAATTGATCATTAATGAAAATCTGATAGAATGGCACAAAGGTTTTAATCAGGTATGGAAATGCATAAATGTATTTTCTTTACAACTTCTTTAAATAATGGAAAAGGTTTCAGTTAAAATGGATCTCTGCTGGTCATGATTCTCTTTATAGCAGGGGTATCAAATTTGCAATGTCACGTGATGTGTCACAACTTATCGTGACTTTTTTTCCATTGCCAGCAATAGGGTGGGTGCAGTTTAGCTATAATGCATGCAGCCCATGGGCCGGCAGTTTGACACCCCCACTTTATAGGGTGCCTAGTTGAATGTATTTTCAGCTGATGAAACAGCCGAATAACTTGGCAATTACCTGTGCAAACTTTTTCATGTTATGAGTAGGTTCTTCCGGTTTCTTTGTGTAATGAATACTGTCACCCTGGATATTGGAAGAGAAAATCTGAAGAGAAAAGCTTCTGCTGCTACGATTGTGTCCCATGTCAACAGGGGAAGATTTCAAGCAAGATAGGTCAGTTATGGACCTATATAAAAATCTGAGAACAAAGGAATTGTTTCATCAAATATTACCATTGGTTGAGCTGCACATATTTATTTCTTACTAAAACTGAGGTTTTCTAGCCTGTAAAGCAAGAAGCATGGGTAACCCCTATAAATCTCAGTTATTTATTTCTTACTAAAATTGAGGTTTTTGAGCCTGTAAAGCAAGGAATATGGGAAACCTAATCTTAACCCTAAATCTAACCCTATAAATCTCAGTTATTAATAATTTCAGTTATTAATAACCACTCAGGTTTTAAAATAATATATCTTGCAGAATACTGTAAACCACACAAAATCTCTTCTTTTATTGTCCTTTTGTGCCAGATATAAGAATACAGAGTGGGATACAAACATTATTTTTTTGATGGTCCTGTAGATCTCTTCTGTGGACCAAGACTGTATAGTGGTCCAACAATATTTTCTAAGGTTGTCATCCAAATACTGCATTGCAATATAATGCATATTGAGGGGAAGAAAATTGAACATTATCTAATTAATTGTTGTAAAATTTAATGGAAAAGTTCAATATTCAACATGATATAACTGTTGTGTAGAGGACACTTTCAACCAGTATATATAATATGAAATCTTTCCATTCTTTATGACACTGTCTACAAAGAAATTGTTTCATCATTTTTTTTATTGTTAAGAATGATTCTTTAGTGCAGGAAGTAATTAACTAATGTTAATCTTATTGAGTAATATTCCCCAAATTTTGAAAATATCATAGTGGCTTTCAAAATATTGAGAGCACCATTTTCAAAACACTTCCTCCAAATTTCAAGGAAATACAAACTGGGAAAATAATTATTTTTTAATTCATTTTAGATATAGGGTTTTCATTTGGAAACTATATATACATACCCCATAGAGCAGTGGTTCTCAACCTTCCTAATGCCGCGACCCTTTAATTCAGTTCCTCATGTTGTAGTGACCCCCAACCATAAAATTATTTTTGTTGCTACTTCATAACTGTAATTTTGCTACTGTTATGAATTGTAATGTAAATATCTGATATGCAGGATGTATTTTCATTGTTACAAATTGAACATAATTCTATTCTATTCTATTCTATTCTATTCTATTCTATGCTATGCTATTCTATTCTATTCTATTCTATTCTATTCTATTCTATTCTATTCTATTCTATTCTATTCTATTCTATTCTATTCTTCTATTCTATTCTATTCTATTCTATTCTACTCTATTCCATATTGTCTATTCTATTCTCTCTTCCATATTGTCTATTCTATTCTGTTCTGTTCTGTTCTGTTCTGTTCTGTTCTGTTTTATTCTGTTCCGTTCCGTTCCGTTCCGTTCCATTCCATTTCTTATTCTGTTCTGTTCCATTCCATTTCTTATTCTATTCTATTCTATTCTATTCTATTCTATTCTATTCTATTCTATTCTATTCTATTCTATTCTATTCTATTCTACTCTACTCTACTCTACTCTACTCTACTCTACTCTACTCTACTCTAATCTACTCTACTCTATTCTGGTCTGGTCTATATTCTATTCTATTCTATTCTATTCTATTCTATTGTATTCTATTCTATTCTATTTAGAAAATTTAGGATAGTCTTCTTCCTGGTTATTCGAAAAAGATTCAGTTATAGAAATGACAACTTTCCAATCATTCTCTACATCTCCCAGCTTTGCATTTGGAGTGAAATGAATCCCAAATTGACCTTAGTATATTTTATTATTTTATTTCAAAACGGCCAGAGAGGAGGGTAATTTCCCTAAGAACCGCCCACCATGGCACTGGAGGAGCTCCTGTCTCTCAGCCCCGCCCCTTTCGAGGAGGAGAGTTCAGGTGGGGGGAGCAGAGGGAAAGCGTTCTCTTCTCACAGAGGAAATTGGCCTCGGTGGCTCACTGTATGCGAAGCCTTAAGCAGCGTGAGAGTTGGAAAAGCGAGGGGTTCCCCTTTCCATCCCTGCTGTGGCGCTTGCAGCTTGGTGGGTTGGTACTTTCATGCTTGCGGGATTCAAAACATCACAATGGCTCAGAACGTTCAGAGTGTTACATTGTCTCTCACGCTGCCCATCACTTGCCACATTTGCCTGGGGGACCGCGCGGAGTGGAACATGTCCGGCGCCGATGCCCCACTCCATTGCAAAATACGTGTGGGATGCAGGAAAAAGCCCCCTCGGTGGGGGAGAGGAGGAGAAGCGCTTTTAATTCCATGCATTCGTTCTTCTTTTTCTCCCCCCCTCCGCCCATTTCTTGCATGGCTTTGAATGGGCGATTATTTCTGAATTCTAGCTTTGTCCCTAGTTTTGGAAACGGCTCGCCGAAAACTTTATAAGCAGAGTGTCAAGCCCCTGGGCTTGACATGAACTGGTGGGGGACAGGGAAGGAGCAGCCAGCAGCCAGCCGACGTCTGTATGCCACCCCGGGGTACCACCCGGATCCCGAGGACCACCTGGGAGTCGGCAAGGCCGCCATGCACCGCGGTCACCTCCCTCCATTGACACGGATGCCGGGGAAGTCCCTACCGCCGGCTGGGCATCAGAGGCATGCCAGCCGGACGCCAGAGGGACTGTCTCTTCCTTTAGCTGCCCCTCGCTCTCACTGGACACAGGGGGAGTCCCAAAAATCAGCTGGGCATCGGTGGCAAGTCAGCCAGACGCCGGAGGAACTGCCTCCCACCGCGGCTGCCTCTCCCTCTCGCCAGGCGCCGGGGGGAATCCCCAGAAGCCAGCTGGGCGACAGAGATGCCACCGCCCCTCCTGTGTTGCCGGTGGTCAGGGGAGGCTTCCAGTTGCCGGGGGGAGCTATGGTCTCGTAGAAGAGCGTGGAGTCTCAGTTCCTAAGACCATCGGAAATATGTGTTTTCTGATGGTCTTAGGTGACCCCTGTGAAAAGGTTGTTCGACCCCCAAAGGGGTCGTGACCCATAGGTTGAGAACTGCTGCCATAGAGGAATTTTAGGTATTTGGTGGATAAGTGAACCTTTTCCCCTACAGTAAAAGGTTTTGGTTCGATCCTCTTTTTATCTGCTTGAATTTTATATGCTTGCCTAGTCTCATCTAAGGCTTTCCTGACAATTGGCCAGGTGTTCTTTAATTGTGCAATCTACTCCTTTAACAAAGGGATGGCAGGTTTTGCAGAGGAAAGTTCTGGCATTGGATTAAAACTACTTGGCTACTTGGAACAGAGTATAGCCCCTGCTGGAGTGAACAGCATTATTGTAGGTGACTTTGGTGAATGGAAGTAGGTCAGTCCAGTTGTTCTGCTGGTAATTAATAAAGCATCTTAAATATTGTTCTAGTACTGAGGTTGACCATTCAGTGCCACCATTCGTTTGCGGATGATGACTAGATAACAGTCCCTGGGTGGTCCCTAACAGAGCTAGGAATTCTTTCCAGAACTCTGATGTGAATTGCACTCCTCTATTGGATATAATGTGCTTGGAATAACCTTTGGAATACAGCTACAGAGAGAAAGATCACAAAATAAATATCAGGCTTTAAATAGTCACGTAAAATATTTATGAAAAAGTGGTAAGTAGGAAATAAGTGAGCTTTCTTTTGATCTTTTATCTAGATACAGAAGATTGTTTCAAATGTCCTGAAGATCAATATCCAAACAAGGATCAAGATCAATGCCTTAACAAAACAATGAGTTTCCTGTCCTTTGAAGAACCTTCAGGGATTAGTCTGGCCTCAGCTGCTGTTTCCTTCTCCCTCCTGACAATCAGTGTGCTCGGAATTTTCCTTAAGCGTAGAGATACTCCCATTGTCAAGGCCAACAACCGGGACCTCACTTACACACTACTCATTGCCCTTCTGCTCTGTTTTTTCTGTTCCTTGTTATTCTTTAGTCAACCAGGGAAAGTAATCTGCCTTCTCCGTCAACCATTATTTGGCATCATCTTTTCAGCTGCAGTTTCTTGTGTGTTAGCTAAAACTATTACTGTGGTTATAGCTTTCATGGCTACTAAGCCAGGTTCTTCAATGAGAAAATGGTTGGGGAAAAAATTGTCTCTTTCCATTGTCCTTTCTTGTTCTTTTTTTCAAGCTGGACTTTGCATTCTCTGGCTGGCAACATCTCCTCCATTCCCTGAGTTAGACATGCACTCCCTTAAAGAAATCATGATTTTGCAATGCAACGAAGGCTCCATCTTCATGTTCTATTGTGTCCTAGGCTACTTGGGCTTCTTGGCTATTGCCAGCTTTATTGTGGCTTTTCTTGCCCGTAATTTACCTGACAGCTTTAATGAAGCCAAGTTCATCACTTTCAGCATGTTGGTGTTCTGCAGTGTGTGGATCTCCTTTGTTCCAACCTATCTGAGCACCAAAGGAAAAGCCATGGTGGCTGTGGAGATCTTCTCCATCTTGTCTTCCAGTGCTGGGTTATTGGGATGTATCTTTTCCCCCAAATGTTTCATCATTGTCTTCAGGCCAGAACTTAATAGCAGACACCAACTAATCAAACAAAATAATTAAATTAGGTCTATATTTTTTATGACTTACATGGGAAGTAAATTAGCAAAGGAAAATTAAAGATTGGTCTTATGGTCTTCAGCAGCTTCATCATGGATTTTGTTGCCTATAAATTATCTGTCATCTTCTGATAAACAAATTCATTGCTTTTAGCATGTTTGTTTCTTCAGGGTGTGCACCATCTTTCTGTCAACCTATCTGAGCACTAAAGGGAAATTAATGGTAGCCATGGAGATCTTTTCCATATGCTTTACTTGTGCTGCTTTACTTGGATGTATCTTTTCCCCCTTAAATGTTTATAATTGTGCTGACATCTAAAATAAACAACAGGGAGCAATTAATAAAAATAATCATTAAGTATTTTTTATTTATTTATAAAATTTATTGGCTGAGCATCTTACCCCAGGTAACTCTAATGATGTATTTTCTCAGTATATTGCCAAATTCTTACATTATATGATATGTTAGCCATTAATTGTGCTTTCAGTTCAGGAAGGAAGGAAGGAAGGAAGGAAGAAAGAAAGAAAGAAAGAAAGAAAGAAAGAAAGAAAGAAAGAAAGAAAGAAAGAAAGAAAGAAAGAAAGAGTTGAAAGAAAAATCTTCATCAGGGTCCAGTCTAAGAAAGATGGCTCTAGGAAAGCTGGAAGCGATGGGTTTTTATACCTTCTTGGGCTTTTGTGTTTGGAATTGTTCCTGTGGCATGAAATTTGACCTGAGTCTGAGTGTGTATTTTTGGTATTCTGGTGGTGGTGGGTTAATCCTATTAGATCCCAAAGGTCATATTCCAAGCTTCCTGGCTCCAATCATTCTGACAAGATTATCACATCTGCATTTCTGCAGACCTGGTTTCTGTTTGGGGCAGAGAGACTTGGAGGGTGGTGGTTTCTGCCTTTAAAATATTTATTTCTCTGGGTGGGGGGCTGACTTCCCACAAAAAGAAGGAGGGAAGGAAGTCATAATATTTCTGAAATACATACATACATACATACATACATACATACATATATACATACATACACACATACACACATACACAATAGATGTGAAAAAATTCTCTGAATTATTATCAGAGAATTATTATAGGTTTTTAAAATAATGACTATATACACAAATAAGCAAATCCTCTTCATCACTAAGAGGTATAGCAATAACCAAAGAAAAATAAAAGTTTGTTTAACTTATTGTTGGGTTAAAAAAAATATAAGCACTTGGAAATTTAGCAGGCTAAAAGAATGAATGTGTGCATGTGGTACATCATTTGCTAAAGTATGAAGGCTCTGCAACAGAGAGTTTGAAACTAGTGGTAGTTAAGTGAAGTGTAATGGAGATTAACAAAAAGATGTGATTTGATAATCTAATTTTTATATTCAATCAATCAATTAATCAATTATTATAAAATAATTAAATGAATTTTAAAAAGTGTTAAAACAATAAAACCATTCACAAAATAAATAAGTACAAATAGCAATAGCAATAGCACTTAGACTTATATACCACTTCAGTGCTTTACAGCCCTCTCTACAGAGTCAGCATATGGCCCCCAACAATCTGGGTCCTAATTTTACTGACCTTGGAAGGATGAAAGGCTGAGTCAACCTTGAACCAGTGAGACTTGAACTGCAGAACTGCTGGCAGTCAGCAGAAGTAGCCTTCATTGTAATCACTGTACTGCCAGTATCAGCCATGATGATTAATCAGCTACTAGTAAAGCCAAGTAATGGGTCCCATATATATTCTAAGTCCCAGGGTACATATTCACATTTTTAAAGCTTTCCAAAAAGCTAACATGGATCTGTTTTAATCTCTGAGTGGAGAATACTCCATAAAATAACGGTTAAAGAGGAAAAAAACCTGTGTTCTTGTACTTGCCAGTGAACACTGTTTGGCTGATGTAATCGGCAGCATGCCTAATCTGTTGGATTGAATGGGAATCTCTTGAAAAAATATTCTTCAGATGATCCTGTCCCAAGCCATATAGGGCTTTAAAGGTGACAATCACTACCTTGAATTGTACCTAGAAACACACCAGCAGCCAGTGCAACTTACAAAATAATGCTTGATGTGCAAATGTTCTTCAGGAGCAAGCCTCATGTAGAACACAATACAGTAATCTAAGCAAGAGATTAACAAGGGCTTGTGTGATGGTGAAATGAACCTCTTAGCCCAGGAATGGACACAACTGGTGCACTTCCTGAAGATGTGTAAAGGGTCGCCAAGCCACAGTTGCCACCTGCTTTTCAAGTAGGAGCTGTGAGTCTAGGAGAAGCCTCAGATTGTACAATGGGTCTGTCTGGGGTAGGGCCACCCCATCCAGAAACTAGAGATGGAAGAATCTTGTTTCCAGAAGATCCAAATACACAGCTACTCCATTTTTCTAGGACTGAGTCAGAGTCTGTTCACCCTATCCAGACTCAAATAGTCTTCAGACACAGGATGGTTAATCCACAGCACCACTCAAGGGGCCTGGAGTAGAGATATAAAGCTGAGTATCATCACCATGCTGATGATATATCACCCCAAACTGATAAATTACCTCATGCAATGATTTCATGTTAAAAAGGACAGGAGAAAGAACCAAGCCCTGAGGCACCCTCAAAGTAGGGGTCATGGCCAGATTCTCCTTGCTTATCAACACCAACTGAAGCCAATTAAGAGGAAGGAGGAGAACCAGCACAAAACAATACCACTCATCCCCAATTCCTGGAGCTGGTCTAGACTGATACTATGATTGATGTTTTTGAATGCTTTTAAGAGGTCAAAAAGAGACAGATGGATGTACCCCCTCCATCTCATATAGTCCAACCCCCTGCTCAGGCAGGAAACCCTATACCATTTCAGACATATGATTGTCCAATCTCTTATTAAAAACTTCCAGTGTTAGAGCATTCACAACTTCTGGAGGCAAGTTGTTCATCACCGGAGGTGATCATGTCTTTCTAACCCTGCCTCCTCCCCCCCCCCCGAGCCAGATGACCTGCCATCCTACCATTCATTCACCTGTACCTCGACTACAACAGGCATAAGGGGTGTGAGTTATATTATATATTAATTCTAGTTTTTCCTCTTCATTTTATCACTTTCAGATGAGAATCAAAGGATTTTTAAGTGATAAAGTGATTGGTAGGATGGCAGGTCACCTGGCTCAGGGGGGGAGGGAGGCAGGGTTAGAAAGACATGTTCACCTCCAGAAGTTGTGAATGCTCTAACACTGGAAGTTTTTAATAAGAGATTGGACAATCATATGTCTGAAATGGTATAGGGTTTCTTGCCTGAGCAGGGGGTTGCAATTGTTCTTACATGCTGATAAAACTTTAGTTTGTTAGGATGTTTTCAGATTTCTCCTAGAAGATGTTGTGGATTTAATAAAACAACACTAACAAAAGATAGCAAACATCTAGGTTATTTGGACATAGAATTATATATTCCATTCTGTATTTGAGTTATCTAAGGAAGTTTTGTTACTTTTGATTTTAAATAATCTTGAAATATTGGAATACCTGGATAGCTAGCCTAACACCCTTCTCCTCTCACCTCAACAACACAATTTATAAACAGCATAATAAAATATCTACCCCAGACAGATCCAGCATAGCATCTGGAAGTCTTGTATGCTTAGCTCCTTCTGGAAGAACAGATGGCAGCCATGGCCAGGAACAATTTTACACAGCCATAGCCAGGAGGATCTTTACATGCAATTTGGAATTAAGGAGAAACTTCTAAACAGTGAGGACAATTAACCAGTGGAACAGCTTGCCTTCAGAAATCATGGGTGCTCCATCACTGGAGGTTTTTGAGAAGAGATTAGACAGTCACCTGTCTGAAATGGTATAGATCCTTTCCAGCTCTATTCTATTCTACTATTCAGTCATTCCTGGACTGAGAAATTCTGCTCACTGTCACTCATGCCTTATTGAGCTCCTATCTGAACTATTGCAATGTGTTCCACAATGGGCTGCCTTTGAAGATCATCTGGAAGCTTCAGTTAATGTACAATGCAGTGGCATGTGTAAGCTATGTAAACCTTTAAATTGCTGCTCTTGTCAGCTGTGTTGGTTGCCCATTTGCTTCTTGATCTCATTCAAGGTGTTGATTTTGATCTTTGAAGACTTTCATGGCATCAACCTGGATTATAATAATAATAATAATAATAATAATAATAATAATAATAATAATAATAATAATAATAATAATAATAATGATGATGATGATGATGATGATGATGATGATGATGATGATGATGATGATGATGATGATGATGATGATGACGATGATGATGGAAGGGACCTTGGAGGTCATCTAATCCAACCCCTGCTCAGGCAGGAAACCCTATACCATTTCAGACAAATGACTGTCTAATCTCTTCTTAAAAACGTCCAGTGTTGAAGCATTCACAGCTTCTGGAGGCAAGTTGTTCCACTGATTAATTGTTCTAACTGTCAGGACGTTTCTCCTTAGTTCTAGATTGCTTCTCTCTTTGGTCAGTTTCCATCCATTGCTTCTTGTCTTGCCTTCAGGTGCTTTGGAGAATAGCTTGACTCCCCCTTCTTTGTGACAACCCCTGAGATATTGGAACACTGCTATCAGGTCACACCTCGTCCTTCTCTTCATTAAACTAGACATACCCAATTCCAGCAACTGTTCCTTATATGTTTTAGCCTCCAGCCCCCTAATCATCTTCGTTGCTCTTCTCTGTACTCTTTCTAGAGTCTTAACATGTTTTGACCAAAACTGGATGCAGTATTCCAAGTGTGGCCTGCATCATCCAATCATATCTGCTCACTCCATCATGTCTGGAAGAAGAGGTAAGCCAAATTTTGCATCTCCTAGGGATGTTGGAAGTTGGATTCCAAATTGATGGAGTTAAGACAAAAACTAAATATTGACTGATTTCAATCAAATTTATATGCTGCTTTATCTTCAAATCATGTATGTAAATACATTTCATTAAAATCATTTTGCTTCCTGAATACAGAACTAACCTGCCTATTAGGAATCATACTAACTGTATAATCTTTAAAGTTTGATTAAACTAAAATAATTCTGCATGTATTACTTGGATACTCATATTCTTCACTTAAACTTGACAATATTATTGGTAAATTATATTTACATGTTTTAATTTCTTTTTATTAATTAATTGTTCCCTGTTGTTCAATTCTGGCCTCAGCACAATGATGAAGCATTTTGGGAAAAAGATACATCCCAGTAAAACAGCACTGGAGGACAAGATGTAGAAGATCTCCACAGCCACCATGGCTTTCCCTCTAGTGCTCTGGTAGGTTGCCACAAAGGACACCCACACACTGCAAAAAGCTAACATACTGAAAGTAATAAATTTGGCTTCATTAAAGTTGTCAGGTAAATTACGGGCAAGGAATGCCACAACAAAGCTGGCAGTAGCCAAGAAACCCAGATAGCCCAGGACGCAATAAAACATGAGAATGAAACCTTCGTTGCATTGCAAAATCATGGTTTCCATAAGGGAATGCATATCTAACTCAGGGAATGGAGGAAAGTTTGCCAACCATACAATACAGATGTTGGCTTGGAAAAGAGAGCAGGAAAGAACAATAAAAAGGGCCAATCTTTTTCCTATCCATTTCCTCATTTTGGAGCCTGGCTTGGTGGCCATGAAAGCCATAATCACAGTGAGGGTTTTGCCCCAAATACAAGAAACAGCCACTGAAAAAACAATAACAAAAGTTGGTTGCCGAAGACAACAGGTGACTTTCCCTGGTTGACCAAGAAATAACAAGGAAGAAAGAAAGCAGAGCAAAAGAGCCACAAGAAGAATGTAAGTCAGGTCTCGATTGTTGGCTTTAACTATAGGAGTATCTTTGTACTTCAAAAAAGTTCCAAGAATCCAGGCTGTCATCGTAGAAAAAGCAATAGCAGCTGATGCCAAAGAAATCCCTAAAGTTTCTTCAAAGGAGAGGAAACTCATTGTTTTGTTAAGACATTGATCTTGCTCTTTGCTTGGATATTGATCTTCAGGACATTTAAAACAATCTTCCATCTCTAGATTAAAAGGAAAAAAAGGTCATATTAATTCATTATTATTTATTTCTGGAAATACAGAGAAACCTGTCTGATAACTGGATGCTTGCCTTGGTAGGACCACACTTGAAACTTTGCATCCAGTTTTGGTCACCATGAAAAAAAAAAAGATGCTGAGACTCTATAAAGTGTGCAGAGAAGAGAACAAAGATGTTTAGGAGACTGGAGGCTAAAACATATAAGGAACGGTTGCTGGAATTGGGTGTGTCTAGTTTAATGAAAAGAAGGACAAGGGGGGACATGATAGCAGTGTTCCAATATCTCAGGGGCTGCCACAAAGAAGAGGGGGGCCAACCTATTTTCCAAAGCACTTGAAGGCAGACAAGAAGCAATGGATGGAAACTAATCAAGGAGCGAAGCAATCTAGAACTAAGGAAAAATTTCCTGACAGTGAGGACAATTAATCAGTGGAACACCTTACCTTCAGAAGATGTGAGTGCTCAAACACTAAAGGTTTTTAAGAAGAAATTGGGCAGTCATTTGTCTGAAATGGTATAAGGTTTCCTGCTTCAGCAGGGGGTTGGACTAGAAGATCTCCAAGATCCCTTCCAACTCTTTTATTATATTATCTACTACTTATAAGTTTCATCTGCGTTGAGTTATGTATGTCCTTACATTCCAATGTTATAAAGAAAAGAGTTATTGTTTTTTAATTGTTTGTATATGGGGTTTTTATTTTTGTAAGCCACCTAGATTCCCTGTGCTGACCACAGGTTGAGAAGCAATGGTCCATATAAATGACCAGCATAATGATTTATTAATTCTGATCCACACATTTGTTTTAAACCTCAGTCAACTGACCCATCTTGTTTGAAATCTTTCCTTCTGGACATGGAACACAGTCATAGCAGCAGAATTTTTTCCCTTCTATTATTCTCTTCCAATATCCTGGGTGACAATATTCATTACAAAGAGAAATGGGAAGAGTCTGCAAATAACATAAAAGGTGTTTAATAAGAAGAGGATAGGTTTTGATTCTTTTATTCATCTGAAAATAAAGTAAATTGTATATCCCATTAAAAAAAGTATTAGTCTATGGAATAATTTTTAATCTGACTTGTCATCCAGCATTTAAAGAAGCTCTTGTATTTATAAACCAATTCTACATGCATAGTTTTAGATCATTTTATTTTTAAAATAAAAACATAATGTTGCACTATGTGTCAAGCACTGGGGAAATTTATTTATTTATTTATTTATT